TCATTGTTGTTTGGCGGGCCCGGGCTAGGGATTCGAACCCGCCTCCTTAGGTGTATGTGGCTGGCACCTTAGCCGCTTGAGCCACAGGCGCCAAGCCAGAAAGCCATTTTTGTAAACCACCATGAAATAAATTTTCTTTGCCACATATATAATAAAGTAAATTAACATCATTTGTTTAAAAGTAATTTGCAAGCTGGGCACAGTGGCCTGTACCTATAATCCCAATTACTTGGGAGGATCCCTTAAAGCCAGGAAAGGTCAAGGGCCGCCTGGACAGGATCCTGTCTCAGAAAATGAACGAAAGAAAAACTGAAAATACTTTACAACACCAAAAAAATAAATTCCTAATCACTACCTGTAAGGAAGCTCCAACATTTACATCACCCTATTTCTTAATTTCCCTAACCTTCAGTATAGAGGGAAGAACCTTTGTTCTTTCTTGTTCTCAAGAGCTTCCACTGCTGCCCCAGACTAAGTATACCATAAGCTAGTCCTTCTGTTCATACTGCCTTTCCCTCTGGGAATCAAAATCTACATTTTGGATCATAGGAGTTTTATTTCAGAAAGCTAGGCAGAGAGCACAAATTAGGATTCAGAGATTATACTGATCATGGGAAAGTACTGTGACTTACAGCTTTGCATTCTTTCTCCTTCTGGGCATTGGCTGTTTTCAAAACAGGAATGATGATTAATGACCAGCTATAACCTCAGTACTCAAAGATAACCATGTTTTTCTATTTGGTGTATGTCTTCCTCATCTTTCCATTAATTAAAATAAGCCTCTAACTACATTAGGTACTGTTTATGGTAAATGGGATGCCCTGGTCAACAGGACAGTCTCTAACCTTCAAGGAGTTTATAGTCCATCAAGAAACAAGCAAACTAGAAACTCAATAGAATGCGTTAGGTACTACAATAAACTAAACTACCTTTAAACTGAAACCTCAAAGATAAAGGTCAAGAAAAAGTACCACAAAATAAAACACTTTTCTTCATTTATTCTATGCATATAGCCCAAAATTATAACATCAAGAATCGGGCAATATAAGAGAGAGAAAAAAATATGAAAATCTGAATGACTTGCTTTTCCAAAAACCAAATGTAATCAAAAATCTTTTCTTATTACACTTAAAAGCACTGAAAAAAATAATCACAATATCTAGTTTGTGTATGCGTCTATGAGACAAATCAGAATACAGTTTAAATTCCTCTGTAACCAAAGTTTCCTGTAAAAAATTTCATGGCCAAAGATAGCCCACCACAGTTATCACAATTGTGACTTTAATAAAAATAAGTACTGGCTTGGTGCCTGTGGCTCAAGTGGCTAAGGTGCCAGCCACATACACCTAAGGTGACGGGTTCGAATCCAGCCTGGGCCTGCTAAACAACAATGACGGCTGCAACCAAAAAATAGCCAGGCGTTGTGGTGGGTGCCTGTAGTCCCAGCTACTTGGGAGGCTGAGGCAGGGGACGCGCTTGAGCCCAGGAGTTGGAGGTTGCTGTGAGCTGTGATGCTATGGCACTCTATCCAGGGGGAAAGCTGGGCTCTGTTTCAAAAAAAAAAAAAAGTACCAATAATAACAGAACCTAAAAACTGTAGCTTTATACAATTCTAGTAATTTACATTTCAACTTTATGCTCTTATTATTAGGTTCCTTGTCTCTCCTTTTTCAACTATCCATCTTAAACTGAGACTTCACCTATAAAAATTTCCAGATGTTTCAATTTTTCTATAATGGCTCACTTTCTTTCAAAAGTACCTAACTGACAGAGCAGATCCAGTATTGCCACTGATTGCTTTTCCACATAGCTTAAAATTCCCAGTAATAAGACAAACTCTAATGCTACTTATAAACTAATGAAGCTAAGCAACATATAAATAATATTTTTATTTTGAATTAGATAAGATGAAGAACAGTAGACTTATTCACTAAAATTTTATGACTAAAACATGAAAATTATAAATATGTTAATACTGTAACAACTGATAACATAATACTAAGACATGGGAAAATACTAACATACTCTCTGAATCAAATAACTACGTACAAAATAATTTTCTTCAAGTTGCCAAAGAAACGCTATCACTAATTGTTCCTGGGTTTGAGGGTTATTGTTTTCTTCTTGCCCTTCTGTATTTCCATGCTTTCTACTGCACACTCATCATTTATACCAAATAACCCACCAAATTCATAAAGTACATAGTCACCCACCATTTTGGTCACATATTTGTTTCTCAAATCAAAATGGAAAGGTACAAAAAATATATATCAATATCAAAGAAAGGTCAAAATACACTAAAGACACATTATAACAAATTCCAAGGGATGCTTCAAATTGCC